CAGTGAGGATGCTCTCAATGGCACAGTGATAGAAGGTCCTGAGGATGCGGGGGCTCATGCCGAATCTTTTCAGTCTCCTGAGAAAGAAGAGGCGCTGCTGCGCCTTCTTCACTGTTTTGTTTGTGTGTACTGACCACGTAAGATCCTCAGCCAGATGTACTCCGAGGAAACGGAAGCTGCTCACTCTCTCCACAGCAGCGCCGTTGATGGTGATGGGGGTGTGTACTTCTCTGCACCTCCGGAAGTCCACTATCAACTCCTTTGTCTTTGCGACGTTGAGGGTGAGATGGTTGTCTTGACACCAGTGGGTCAGGGCGCTGACCTCCTCCCTGTAAGCCGTCTCATCACCGTTGGTGATAAGACCCACCACTGTAGTGTCGTCCGCAAACTTCACAATGATGTTGGAGCTGTTAGTGGCTGTGCAGTCGTAGGTGTAGAGTGAGTACAGGAGAGGGCTCAGTACACACCCCTGTGGAGCACCAGTGTTCAGTGTGATGGGGGATGAGGTGATGCTGCCCAGTCTGACCACCTGGCGTCTGTCAGACAGGAAGCTAAGGATCCAGCTGCAGAGGGAGCTGCTCAGTCCTAGATCCTGCAGTTTCCTGTCCAGCTTCGAGGGAACGATGGTATTGAATGCTGAGCTGTAATCTACAAACAGCATTCTCACATACGTGTCTCTCTTCTCCAGGTGTGACAGGGCAGTATGTAGTGTCAGGGCTATGGCATCATCAGTGGACCTGTTGTGGCGGTATGCGAACTGTAGAGGGTCCAGTGAGTCGGGTAGTGCAGAGCGGATGAAGTCCCTGACCAGCTTCTCGAAGCATTTGCTCACGATGGGGGTCAGGGCTACAGGTCGCCAGTCGTTTAATGAGGAGATGGTGGAGGATTTGGGTACAGGGACGATGGTGGCCATTTTGAAGCAGGCTGGGACTACAGACAGAGAGAGGGAAAGGTTGAAGATGTGCGTGAACACTCCAGCCAGCTGAGCCGCGCATGACTTGAGGACCCGGCCGGGAATCCCGTCCGGACCAGTAGCTTTGCGCGCGTTCACCTTCCTGAAGCACTTCCGCACATCCTCCTCAGACACAGTGTGCGCGCTGACGTCATCCGCGGTGCGCACACTGTCCGGTCTCATGGTGTTCGCTGTGTCGAATCTGGCGTAGAATACGTTTAGATCCTCACACAGAGAGGCCGTGGTCTGCGGTGTGCTGGTTTTCCCTCTAAAGTCTGTGATCGTGTTTAGTCCCTGCCACATACTCCGAGGGTTGTCAAACTGTTGCTCCACCCTGTCCCTGTACTCACGTTTGGCTGCTTTGATCGTCTTCCGGAGTTGGTAATGTGCGTGTTTGTAGTCCGATGTGTTCGCGGAGGCAAAGGCGGTGCTCCGTGCCGCCAGTGCCGCGCGAACATCTCCGTTAATCCAGGGTTTTTGATTTGGGAAGGATTTAACTGTTCTGGATGGGACGACATCTTCCACGCATTTCCTGATAAATCCACAGACTGAGTCTGTGTATTCATCAATGTCTTTTGCGGCTACGTGAAACATTTCCCAGTCCGCGTGATCAAAACAGTCCCGCAGCGCAGACTCCGATTGGTCCGTCCAACAGTGCACCGCCCTCCGGGTTGGAGCTTCCTGTTTCAGCTTCTGCCTGTAGGCGGGCAGGAGCAGGATGGAGCAGTGATCTGATTGGCCGAATGGGGCGCGGGGGAGGGCTTTGTACGCATCCCGGAAAGAGGTGTAACAGTGGTCGAGAAGCCGGTTCCCACGTGTATTAAAGGGAATGTGTTGATGTAGTTTTGGTGAGACTTTCTTCAGGTTTCCCTTATTAAAGTCTCCGGCTGTGATAAACGCTGCCTCTGGGTGTGCGGTTTCCTCGCTGCTGATCGCGCTGTACAGTTCCCTGAGTGCTCGGTCAGTATCGGCTTGTGGGGGGATGTAAACAGCCGTAATAATCACTGCTGTAAATTCCCTCGGTAGCCAAAATGGCCGGCACTTAATCATCAGGTACTCCAGGTCCGGTGAGCAGAAGGATTTGACCGGGTGCACGTTCGCATAATCACACCAGCTGTTGTTGATCATGAAACATACACCACCGCCTCTGCTTTTCCCAGTAAGATCCTGTGACCTGTCCGCGCGATGCACGGAGAACCCCGGCAGTTGTATTGCAGAGTCCGGTACCTTGTCCGATAGCCAGGTTTCTGTGAGGCAGATCACGCAGCAGTCCCGCATCTCTCGCTGGAATGAGATCCGTGCCCGAAGCTCGCACAGCTTGTTCTCCAGAGACTGCACATTAGCCAGTAATAAACTGGGTAACGGTGGTCTGTAAGTGCGCCGTCTCAGTCGAACCAGAACGCCAGATCTTCTCCCTCTGCGTCGGCGTTTGCGGCCTCCAGGGCCAGAGAACAAAGGCGTCTCAGGTGAGATGAATGGGGGGTCTGCAAACGGAGCGTCCGTGTTGCAAAACTTGAACTCCGGAAAGTTATAAGAAAGACCGTCTTTTATGTCCAGTAAGGTTTGTCGGTCGTACACAAGGAGACATGTGCTACTCGCGAAAAAATGAAGGAAAAGTAAAATTAAACACAGAAAAAAGCTGTTGCTTGGGGGAGCTCGCGACGAGGCTGCCATACTCGGCGCCATCTTGGAACATCCATGGAACATACCATGGTTCCGAATAGGTAGATATCTTCAGCACTCAGGCTCACCCAAGCCCAAACTTCTCGTTGAGAAAGGGGTGTCAATTGCTTCTCCTTTTCAGGGTCGTGGGGGCGGGGGCAGTGGAGCCTATCCCCGCTGTCATAGGGCAAAGAGGCAGGGTACTCGGTGGACAGGTCGCCAGTCTGTCGCAGTAGCTTACCATCACCAGTGTGTGAATGTGTGTGAATGGGTGGATGACTGAATGTAGTGTAAAGCACTTTGGGGTCCTTAGGGACTACAATACAGGCCATTTATCAATTAACCTATCCCCACAAACTGCATGTCTTTGGATGGTGGGAGGAAGCCGGAGTACCTGGGGAGAACATACAAACTCCACACAGAAAGACCCCGGCCTGATGGTGGAATTAAACTGAGGACCTTCTTGTGTACACCAACAGTGCTAGCCATCGTGCCACTGTGCTGATTGTAAAGTAAATAATAAAAAAAAAACCTTTGAAATCAGTTTAATCACTGGAGGATAACTGTGGTGGCATTGCTTCTAAATCTATAAACAAACAATTAATGATCTGTAGTACTTGTAACTTAAAGTCTTTGAGGTGTCATGGTCCCAGTGTCTGCCCGCCCAGCCCCGCAAGGCTACATGTGCTTTTGTTTACTCTCTCTTTCTCTTGCCTCTCCGCCTTGGCGGAGCTCACTGCAGGCCCCCGCCCTTGGACCATACCTGTTGTCCATCAGGCCGCCATTATGTGTTTGCCATTTAAGGCCGAGACGCAGACAGTCTCATCGCTGGATGATTGTGCGAGACACGTTAGTGAGCCTCTAGCCTCAGTGAAATTTTCGTGTGTAAATCTGTGATTCTGCTTAACCAATTTCTTGTTAATAGTTTTCCCGGACCCGTAACCTACCCGCTGTGTGGACGTGTGTGACAAAGAGAGCGTGTGCGAGAGAGCTACCCCTTCCCTGATTTTCCCCATGGACCCTAGGAACCCTGAATTTCCCCCAATGTATATATTCTGCACCTGGTGATTGTGTAAATAAAACTCTGTTTTTGGAACTGAACTCTGCACTTGAGTCCCCGCCATCGCTTGTAACAAGAGGCTTAGTCACATCATAGCCCTACTGAATCAGCTGGCAAAGCCGATGTCCACAAGATGCACTGACAGAGGCAAGGCTGCCGGACACTGGCGCCACCGGGCCCTCTGACCACCACCAGTAGGCAACGGGTGAAGTGTCTCGCCCAAGGACACAACGACCGAGACTGTCGGAGGGGCTCGAACCGGCAACCTTCCGATTACAAGACGAACTCCCAACTCTTGAGCCACGATCGCCCTAATTAACATAAATATTTTATGTTACAAAGTTTCAACACATATACTAAATGTTGTGAATTTTTAGCTTCATATAACAAATACTTTAAAAAAATGTTCCAACTCACTTTCAAACCATTTTTTTCACATGAATATCTAAGAAAACATGGTTTAAATGACAAGCCTGAAATTTTCACTAGTCATTTTTGCCATCAACCATCAGCATCTGTAATTGTGTATTTCAGACAAATGCATCACATGTCTCTCTATTAGCGTATCAAGTAGTCCTTTAAAATCCCATATTTGTGCGTACTTAATGTTTTCAAGACCTACTCCTACCATTTTGAGCCCTTTTGTCATAGAAGAGTCTGATAAGTATAGAACTTTTTATTTTAAACAGCCTTTGAGATATCGATGTTTAAACATTGCCTCAGATTTCAGTGTGCAAAAAAAAAAAAAGACCTGAAAGGAACCTTTCTTTAAAAAGTCCTCCGCCAAGTCCTATATCCTGAAACTAATTGGATTTATGAATCTAAAATTTGTCAGCAACCATTATACATGTTCAAACTTTGTGTCACAACATTTTGATGTAAATTTGAGATGGTTGAGTAGAAGACCAGTGTTGATTTGAGATGAATGACCCGTTTAATAATCAATAATCTTGTGAGACACATAAGTTTTGTTGTGACTCAGTGTGACCACTGGAGGGAAGTAAAGACTCTTTTGCAACATACAATCACGCTGCAGACAGTGCACAGGACACTGGGAGAGGTTTACTCATGCTTATAAGTCATCCAGAAATAAATTTAAACTTGGCCCAGAAGCAGCACCTGCTGTCTGGACTACAAGATTTTCGATTAGTTTCCATGCTCAAAAATATAAAGTACAAAGATATAGACTTAGAAGTTTTAAAGCTCAGTTATTTGGATAGATAACGTCTCGTGTATAATTCAGGGTTTTTTGATAACATATTTTAGGTTCACTACCATGCACAAACAAACACAGATACACACACATAAAATGTAATTTCATTAAGAAAAAGTAACTGTAAGGATCTGTGTTGCTTCTTAATTTGAAGCTGCTAACACGTTGCTCTGATGGTTGGATTAAAAGTTCTAAAGGTTTTTAAATCAAGCTTGAAATTGTCGAAAACAGCTGATTCAATACAAGCTTTGTGCCATCGATTTATTTAATGTAGCAAAACCTTGTCAGTCATTAACAAAGAGCAAATGAATAATAAAAAGTAAATGATGTAGCAGGTGGGTCAGACGGGGTCAGTTCAGCTCTGAGTGGGTGGAGCGCTCAGTGGAAAAGAATGAGAGAGGGGTGCAGCAGCAGATATGGATCTGTTCTCAGCGGTTATTAGGACAGAAAAGAAAGTCAACAGCCAATCAGAGCTTCCCTTTGTGCAGCAGCTGGGCTGTGTGGGTTTCTGTGCGAGTTGGGGGTTTTCACTTTAATGTCACAGTGACAGTTACAGCAACAGCCACAGTTGCACAATAATTCCAGAAAGTATTCAGACCCCTTCACTGCAGTGACTCCGTGTGCTATAATGATGAAATCGAATAAAGTTTTGTTTGTTTAGGTTTTGTTTTGTTTTTTTCGCCAAACATTAGAAGTGAGGTCAGCTGCATCCTACAAAACCAATACAGGGAACACAAAGTGGTTTTTAATAATGTTGGTCCTACAACATCTAAGCTGGTGTTTATTAAAATCAGTCATTAGGATGAATTTTAGGTTAGCTGTACAAACCAGCATTAAGGTTAATCTGAGCTACACTAGTGTTACATTCAAGATGAGGTCACGTGCTTATTCACCCGAATGCAGGTTCGACTTTAGTGGTCAATAATGACCAACGCAACTTAAAAGTATATGTGAGAGATTTTTGGTGCAAATAGCACCATTCATGCAAAGAATATGGAAGAAATCACAGTTAAACAGTATTATAGGAACTTAAAGTTTATGAAGTGATTGCATGAGAACAGTTCAGCGCAGAGTCTCGGACATCCTGCTCGTATGAGAAGACAAACCACACAGAGACAGACTTGGAAACCGCTGAAACAAACAACTTATTGTTCTTCTCGAAACAAACACCAGCGCTTCACCTCACATGTTTTTATTTCACTTCCAATTGATCATGTTTTCACTTGCTCCACCTAAACACATTAAATGAAACAATGATAAGTTTGGAATCAGGGCTTTCAGTATTTAGCTCATGTATGCTGGTGGAAAATTAGATGTCAGCATCAAGAAATATTTCATCAACATTTGGTGTTTTCTGCCGCTTGTTTAAAGTATATTTATTTTTACTGCGCAGCTTTAACAAAGTCAGGTGTTTGAATTCATTGTAGTGTAGTCTTGACTCTTAGTCAGGACCATCTGTCCCCTTAACTACCAGAATACTTCAGTTTTAGTCATTTTCAAAAGTTAGCAAAAAAATAGAAGTACGATTGATGAAATTAATACAGAATGTTTAGTAGAAAAAGTAAATACAGTATTCAGGGTAATTCAAATAAAAGGAAAATTTATAAAAACTAGAACAATTTGACAGACTTTAAGCTGTTTGAAAGAGATTCAGTTAAAAAGGTGAAAAGCGATCCATGTTAGTTTTAAAAGCTAAAGGACGCTGCTATGGGGTCGCAGCGCTAACAGCTGCACTGATATCATGACATTGTTCAGAGGCTTTAAACAATCTCACATGGAACACACAATGACACATAATTTACATAACTGATATATAGATATGCAGACACTGCAGGATATATATGTGCATGTGTAAAAAAAAAACCCACACAGTCCAAATAAAGCTGGTGTAAAGATGATATCGTTTTTAAGACTGAGTCCAGAAAACAACATCCACGGGTTCCTGATAGTTTGGTTCCTTTAGTTAGACAGTTTTTATTCTGTTTCCTTTAATAAGAAAACCACACTATCTGTATAAAGAAACATTTGATTTGCAATGTCTGAAAGAGGACAGAGCTTAAAACTGGAGTTTGCTTTCATAGTTATATCTGCTTCGAATCATGGAGAACATGTTAAATAATATTTTAGGTCATAGAACTAATTGTTGTTGAATGACAAACACATTGGTGAGAGTTCAGAAATGCATCTGCTAAATATGTCCTTTACAAAATGAAACCAATCAAGGTGAACTCTAATTTTAATTTATTTTAACATTTATAATTTCATATTCAAATAAATATTGGGTCATTGTGTTTAACATTTTTATTGCATCTGGAAGGAATTTGTGATTTTGTGAGGGAACATTATGATTTTGAACATTTACTTCCACACTATGATATCACATCATGTGATGACTATGCAGTCCCAATGATAGTGAACTAAAAATAAGGCTCAGACACACCTGCATGTTTTTTTTTATCTAACAGATTTATGGTTTCATGTTCTCATCTTCTTTAAAATCCTGTTTGTATCTCATTAAACATTTGTTCTTCTTTTACCACTGCTCGTTGCCTATCAGCATATATTGGGAGTGCTGCTGTTTCTCGCAGTTTTCTACAAAATTAAACTCAAACAAGCAAGATTTTTTTGTTTGCTTTATTCGGAATATTGCAGAGAAATACTTTGAAGAGCAGGCAACACTTTGTTTTAATTAAACAAATGCTATAAATGATGAATCATCTACTAGGGCGCTAATAATTCTGCCTTTTCTGTTTCAGCTCTTTTTTTAATATTGAAATAAAAAAGAAAGTAAAAAAACAACCAAAATGCTGCACTGTTACAGACTTTTCTAAATCCTGAGTGATAAACGATATGAAAAGCGATAAGCCAAGAAGAAGGAAACAGTCAGTCAGCTGCGTGTTTGCGGCTGCGTCTGATGAGCCTGAGCAGAGAGACTCCACAGCAGTACACCAGACTCTTCGTGATCAGCACCGTGTACACCAGGCAGAGCAGTTTTACTTGTTTTTGAGACACGGGATGTTCTGATGATGGACCTTCTGTTAAAGTTTGATTGGTGGAAAGTGTATCTGGTGGAAGTTCTTTTGGTGTACTTTGAGAAACTCCTGAAACAGAAAAGTCACATTTGAGTAGCTGCGTAGCTAATTTCATGCTGAAAAGGCAACAAACTTTCATTACCTTCCTCTATTTGACCCTCCACCGTCCCCCCCTCGTGTGTGACAGAACAGCCATATGTATGTGAGTTCTCGTCTTGCTGATGGATCAACAAGATGCTGGCAGTGTAATCGGACTCTATGATGTCCAGCTGTTCTGTGTCACCAGGGGGCACCGCCAGCGGAGATCCGTCCTGCTTCTGGCTTTTCCAGGTGATCTTGACCACAGGAGGAACCATTTGTGAGGCCACACACAGCAGGGATCTCTTCTCCTCCAGATGATCACTGGATGCTGCTTGGTACACTGTCACCGAGGGCTTTGCTACCGGCGTAGCTGAAGTTTGACAGCAGACACAGAATTTCACTCAGTGTGACCTGAGAAGCTTCATAATCACCAAACTACCAATCAGTGCCTATCGGCTGTGTAATGGCTCATTTTAAACACTTAACAATATTCAGATGATTTATTGTTATAATGTACAATGTAATATTAAATATTAAAGGCAGAATTATATTTATCAAAGTTAAACTGATTTCATTAACACACAATATTTAATACAATTAAATGGTAAATGGCCTGTATTTATATAGCGCTTTACTAGTCCCTAAGGACCCCAAAGCGCTTTACATATCCAGTCATCCACCCATTCACACACATTCACACACTGGTGATGGCAAGCTACATTGTAGCCACAGCCACCCTGGGGCGCACTGACAGAGGCGAGGCTGCCGGACACTGGCGCCACCGGGCCCTCTGACCACCACCAGTAGGCAACGGGTGAAGTGTCTTGCCCAAGGACACAACGACCGAGACTGTCCAAGCCGGGGCTCGAACCGGCAACCTTCCGATTACAAGGCGAACTCCCAACTCTTGAGCCACGATCACTCCTTTGTCCTTTACGTCTGTTATCACAATTTTAAATTATAACAATACAATGTAACACATCTATAGATGTAAAAATAAATCACATCCTTCACATATCATGGCAGCAGTATTGATAATGAAAGCACGCGTACTTTGTACATTATAGTTTCTGTATATATTTGAATCATATAGTTTGTAATTATTCTAAAACTGTTGCAAATAAGATTTCATATATACGATGTGAATATTTCTATATCAGTTTTTATAATATGTCAGAATTTAATTGTATCGTTTTTTTCATAATGATTTTATATTTGGCATCTATAATCTCTTAAAATATATAAGGTTAGTATATACATATTACAGTAATTTCATCTGAAAATATTTATGAAGAAATATTTGTACAGGGGATTTTTTAAATCCAAATTGCGATTAATGTAACAATACTTTTATGACATTTTAATGACATTTAAGAAATTTCCAGTATGCACAGAGAGAGAGAGACCGAGACATCATTAGATCAGAAACTTCAGAACTTTTTTCATTGTGTTCACATGAGACACAATTTTTTCATGTAGTTAAACAATTGCAATTATTTGAATATGTGAAAAATAGCTTAAAGCCCTCAAAGGATACACAATCAATTCTATATAATGCACTACATGTAATGAAATACTGAATTACATAGCTTATTATATAATTTCAAAACTTTTCTTATTTTAAGTATGATGTCAAGTCCTAAATTTCCAAATTACATCTACTATAATATTTGAGATAATATTAAGTCAGTAGTCATTAAACTTTCCTTAAATGTGTCTTAAGATTCAAATATGAATAACATTTTATTTATAAGCTTATGACTTACTGTAAATATGTCCACGTTTAATTTTAATGATTTTCTTTCACAAATCCCAGTGAGTCTGTTATCGTTTTGAGCTTACAAACAAATATAAAAATAAATAAAAGGATGTTGAAATTTCTTAGATAAGGATTAGTTGTAACCCTGCTCACATCAGACTTTTAGGACTTTTCACGCTGAAAAAAACCCCAATAAATACCTCACATATACAGTGAGATTCACAGTTTTTTCCTACTTAATAGAAACACATTTTAAGTCGGACTTAGCGGAAACTGGCTTTGAACAAATTGTCATTTTGAAAGTTGTAAGGAAAATTAATTCATTTGTTCTTACCTGTTACGTACAGTTTAGCTCCAGAGCCAAAGATCATGTCTCCTCACACAGTGACACAGACCAGTACAAAAACCTGTCTGATGTTGAATGTGGCAGCTGAGGTAAAGCAATGTCATTCACCAATCAGACGTAACATTATGACTCTGCCTGATTTTGTGTTGGTCCCTCTTTTGCTGCCAAAACAGTCGTGAGGCATGGATTCCACTCGACCCCTGAAGATGTGCTGTGGTATCTGGCACTGAGATGTTAGCAACAGATCCTTGAAGTCTTGTAAGTTGTGAGGAAGGACCTCCATGGATCACACTTGTTTGTCCCGTAGATCCCACAGATGCTCAGTTACTGGTCACTGTTTCTTCCTTTGACGACTTTTGATACAAACTGACCACCGCAGGAACACCCCACAATCGGGCTTTTGCATTTTTGCAGCGAGTCATCTAGCCATCACTATTTTGTCAAACTCACTCAAATCCTTACACTCACCCATTTTTTCTGCTTCTAACACACCAACTTGAGGAGAAAATGTTTACTTGCTCCTTAATATACCCTACTGACTAACAGGTGCCGTGATCAAGAGATAATCTTGTCACCTGTCAGGGGTCATGTTGTTATTTCTGTTTAGTGTAATTCAGCTCCATGATTTGGTTCAGTCGAGATGAATTAATGTTGTAAAAACTGCATGAATCTGAATATTCTGCATAACTTCTGCCTCCAGATGATGAGCTACCTGAGCTGACCTTTGTTTCACAAGTTTATTCTTGTCCAAACAGCAGGTTGGCAGTTTTCCTCCAGAATTAAACTTCTCAACAATGTTTTGATGGAGTAGCACTGTAACAGGATTCATTCGCTGTGGTGGGCGTGTAGTCTGTGGCTCAGCTGCACAGTAGGGGTGTTGCAGTGGGTTCAGGGGCAGTGTCAGGAGAGCCTGGTGGACACATCTGACATCGATTGTCTGGAATCAATGAACGGTCTGCAAAGATAAAACTGTGCAAATAAGTCACTTTAACTGCACCAGCCTACCCATCTGAGCATGTTTTGGGACCTAGAAACAGCCAACAAGTGTTACAATATTAGTATGCACTTTGGTCGTCCTCTGGTTTCTAAGAACAAATATCTGTCCAGCCAAATGGTTTCTTCTGTTTGTTCAAAGTTATAAACATCGGCAGAGACAAAAAAAATAAAAAATCTCCTCAGACAAAATACAAACTTGCTGCATGTTTTGTAGTTTAACTGCCTGCAAATCTCAGCATGATTATTATGAGGAGTCCTCATGGTAATGTAGAGAACCAGCACATGACAGCAATGACTGTAAAGGAAAAGAAACCAACCTGTATGCTCTGTGCAGATGTGCAAGGTTACAGAAATAAGAGTTGGACAATCAAAGTGACCAAAAAGACACCAAAGCACAGCTTGCACTCGCGGATGTGATGTAACTTTTAGCTTGGCTGACATTTGTGAGGGTGACAGTCATAACTATAATGTTACTAAAGGGTGTGATTGACCAGTTGGCTATACTTTGAGAATCCTGGATTCAAACTGTTGTTTTTCATTCATTTCTTTTTTTTTCAAAGCCATATGCTTTCTGGTTTCTGGAGCTGTGATCACTGTGTTGTGGTGTTTTGGTTTTCCCTCAGTTGCTGTTCTCATAGAGGAATATTGCTTCTCCAAAAAATATAGACACTTCTGTTTGATGTTTGTCAGAAGAAGATAATCTCTGTGGATTTTTACAGTCTGCTGTTTTTGACCTGAATGTGAACACACAAGACAAGTTTATCTGATACTCCCAATTGTGTCATCTTTTGAATCTTCTTGAATTTATTTTGGTCTTGATTATTTTTACTTCTTATATAAATAGAATACAAACTAGTTGTTTTGGTTTCAAAGGTGATGCCTGCGTCAGTGTGTGTGTGTGTGTGTGTGTGTGAACCTGAGCTGTGGTCTGCTGCTGTTCCTTTGATGGTTTTTGTTCAGCCTGCAGGGATGTTTTGTCACTGTGAGAGCTTTGAGCACAGGAGCAGTAGTAGATGGCTGAATGAACGAGGCTAACTGCATTTATCTCCAACTCACAGCTGTTCTCATTTTTCACAGCTGAGAAATCTTTTCTCTGAGCATGGTTGTAGTCACTGTTGACTTCACCAGTGCGTATGTTAATATGAAGAATCACTCTGAACTTATCACCGTCTTTCTTCTGGTACCAGTGCACATAATTGCCACTGCACTGGGAAGTTCCACAGCTGAAGGAGACTGTTTTGCCAGGTGTCGCAGTCAAAGTTAAATCTTTCTGGATCAGCTCTGCAGCCATGGTAACCAGCGCTGCAAAGACAGAGAGGAAAATGTCAGTTTGATGGTGTTTCTGACATGTAGTTTTTGTTGGGTTGAAACTCACCTAAACACAGACAACACAGAGCAGCAGCTGGGAGGAAAAGCATTGTGTGAACCGTTGTGTTCAGTGACATTTCCTCTGGTGAATCTGAGGAGAAGTGATGCTTTGATAGAAACGAGGCCAAACAAGGACAATTTATATGATCAGACGAGGACCACGTGTTTCTAACAACTCCTACAACCTCCCATTAACTGCTGCAGCTGTCAGTGCTGCTGCTGACTGACAGCTAAGGCGTGTGTTGCAGTTTTCCACTGAGACTGAGGTTTGCAAAACACTAACCTTCAAATATAGAGGGGGATTTATTTATTATTTCAGTCGTATCTTTTCTTCACTTTCTATGAAGTCAGTCAACAAAATGTCTTAAAACTGTGATGACTTCAAAACTAAAAATATTTGTTCCCTCAAACACAAACTGAGGAACATAAAGGGACTTGATGTAGTCTGAAATATTTTTGACCATGCATGGAAACACTATCATCAACATACAACTCAATGATATGATACATATCAACTTTTAACATTCAGAAGGAAAAACCTCCCATAGAACCGGTCTGAGACATTTTTTTCTTTCTTATCCACCTTTATTGTGTACTTCCAGTACTCCCAGTTAGCTGTCAACCTTAATTACAAGTATTAATTTTACCCTTTGACGGTATGAACATTTCGATTTATGATTTAAAGTACTGAAATTTTGTCTAACTGTTGTCTCTCAGGCTGAGATGGAGCTGTGGTTTCTTGCTTTTCCTCTGATGGTTTTTGTTCAGCCTGCAGGGATGATTTCACACTGTGAGTACTTTTGTAACAAGAGCAGTAGTAGATGGCTGAATGAACGTCTTTAACTGTTTTTAGCTCCAACTCCCAGCTGCCCTGATTTTTCACTGCTGAGAAATCGTTTTGCTGAGGGTGGTTATAACCTCGATTTATTGCACCATTGCTTATACCAATAGAAAGAAGCATTCTGAATGAATCTCTTGTGTCTTTCTTCTGGTACCAGTATACAACAGTACTGCTGCACTGGTCAGTCCCACCACAGCTGAAGGAGACACTTTCACCAGCTACCCTGGTCAGAGTTAAATCATTCTGTATCAGCTCTTCAGCCACAGTAATCACTGGGGTAGAGACACAGACAGGTTAGTATGGCAGTGTTTGTTACAGATGGTGGACTCGTGTTTGAATAAAATCACTCACCTGAACACAGACAGCACAGAGCAGCAGCTGGGAGGAAAAGCATCGTGTGCAGTGATGTTTCTTCTGGTGAACCAGGAAAGAAGTAGAGCTCTGTTAGGCTGATGCAGAACAATGGCAAGTTATAAGATCTTACAAGTACCACGTGGCTTCTAACGGGTCCTCCAACCTCCTCTTGTAAGGGTGGTACTGACTGACAGCTGCAACCATCTTGTCGTTTAAAAGAACATTTAAAAATTTTCCTGTAGAGGGATTTATTTGCTGTTCTAAGCTATCATCTTTAATTCATAGTTTCTGACAGGACATACAACCGTGTGACTTATTCTGCTATTTTAGAGATGCAATGAACTTGAATTCCACAAAGATCCTGATCTCTGATTTTAGCTTTGAAATATTTCATTTTTCCCCGACAACCTAAATCACATAAGTGGAAGATGGATGGATTTTCCCTTTCAATTCATTGGTTCAGTTTCCATTGCTCATTTTTCTGATTCTTTTGTTTGATGATCCAGCTGGTGGAATAACAAAACTGCAGGGCAGTTGCAGAGTGCCCCCTGGTGCACAAACTGTGAAACATCAATATTCATGACATTGTCACAGTGGCACTGTGACATATTAAAAGGTGCTTCTCTTGTCTATTTTTTTTTTAATTGTTCATTTATTGATCACTCTAAAGGCTGATACTGATATGTTGTCAAATCAACCAATATATCAGTGAGGCTCTAGAAATGACAACCCAACCACCATCTGAATCTTATCAGCGTTCACATGTATTTTCACATCATTATAGTACAATAACACTGTTGTAGAAGATGAGTGCACTCCACTTCCATATTGCTCATAGATATATAGACAGCTTTCCTGGACGAGTGATCTCCCCTCTGTTCGTCTACCTTTAAAATTTTAGTGGTAATTAAGAAACATTTGCAGTTTGGATATATAACACACTGAAAATTTAGAACTAAAGCTACCAAAACAATTGTTCCATTTTTTCTTTTTTCCATTTTTTTAAGATAATAAGGTTTTGACTTTGATTTGTGGAGATCTAAATCCTGAAAATTTGTTTAGCCTGGTGTTTGTCTCTCAGACTAACATGGAAGCAATAAATGTGAACCTTACCCCTGTACTCCCAGTACTTTCTAGTCCTCTCTCACATCTTTTGCGATGATGGCGCCAGTGTGTCCTGCAGGCCTTCTCCGCTGCTCTCTGCTGCTTCTTACCCTTCTGCTTACATACTATTCAGGTGGCTCTGCATTGATTACCTATGACCGGCATACTCTCCTAAGTCTGCGGCCACCCTATACTTACGGGTCGCACTTTCATGGATCGGACCCGTGGGACAATATAGGAGATACCACTCTGCCATGGACGGATCACCTCTCAGGAACATACTGCCGACCCCTGCCTCCTTCACGCAGGAGATGCTAAAGGAAATGGGGCAAGCAGAGCGGTGTCCATGTCCGCATTAAGGCTTACCTAAAGGCACATTTTGTGGCTGGCTTCGACGTCGATGTGGATGCTTTCTGCCTTCCCTCGACCTTCTGGGAGCAGTTTACCCTTAGGTTGTTCAGGCATCGATGGATTCGCCATGTTGAGTCACAGGCCTGCCCTGCCAACCCAGTGGTTTATTCGCCGGCCCGGTGTTGGATTAGGGCTCCTAATGGGCTCCTTCCAACTGTCACTCGGCGTCTTTGACTCGGAGGCGCTATTAAATGTTAGGTCGCTGACGAATAAGACATTTATTGTGAGCGATCTTTTTACTGCTACAGGTTTGGATTTATTATTCATGACGGAAACATGGATTTGTCCTGGTGAGTCTTTTCCTTTTTCAGAGATTGTTCCTCCGAATTGTACCTTTTTTAGCTCACCGAGACCTTCCTGCAGGGGGGCAGGACCTTCAGTGGTCTTTAGGAATAAATTCTGAGTACGACACCTGCCCTCCGCTATGTTCCCTAGCTTCGAAGCTCAACTGCTGGAACTTTCTGGTCCCCCCCTGACTCTCTGTGTTGTGATTTACCGTCCCTCGAAATATAATAAGACTTTCATTAATGATTTTTCTGACCTTTTAGCATCTCTTTATTTAAATTATGATCGTGTTCTTATCACTGGCGATTTTAACATTCACATTTGTTGTAAAGATGATGTGTTTGCCAAGGATTTTTTAGCCTTAGCTGACTCTTTTAATCTCATCCAGTGGGTTAATGCACCTACCCACTTCAAAGGACATACCCTTGATGTTTTCTTATGGACTGGACATCTGTATCAGGGACATCAGCAACATCGGAATCTCTGACCACTTCCCAGTCATCTTTGATGCTGTTATGCAAAATGGTCCAGGACTTTGAGGGTCCTCGACGTCTTGTGCGCATAATCAATCCTGTGACTGTGGCTGAATTTTTGACTGCTTTCTCCAAATCTGTTTTTCCTGACATTGATCGTTCTACACCCTCTCCAGTTGATGATTTTGCTAACTCCTTCCTCTCTACATGCTCTTCTTTACTGGACGTTGTGGCCCCTGTAAAGGTAAAACAGCTTAGAAGCTGCCCTCAACCATGGTTAAATGACTCTTTACATGCTTTACGACGCATTTGCTGCCAAGTTGAAAGACGGTGGAAAAAAGATAAGCTCCAGGTGTCTTTTGACATCCTTCGCAGGACCCGCCTGGAATTATAGAAATCGGTTAGGCAGGTTTCCTGTCAGCTGTCATTACGGATAACAGTCACAATCCACATTTTTTATTTAAAACCTCTAACTCATTGATTAATCCCTGTCCTGTAACGCCTAGACTGGCTTCCTTAGCACTTTGTGAAGAATTTTTAAATCATTTTACAGGCAGAATCTTATCTCTAAGAGTCTCACACCCCCTGTAATGAGTCAGGCGCCAGCTTTACGATGCTCCACTAACCACAATCAGTTTTATCCAGTTTCACTCCCCACTCTCAGGGGTATAATTGATCACCTGAAAAACACAAACGCTGTTCATGACATCCTTCCATCTCGCATTATTAAAGATGGGTTTAACATTATTGGGCCCTGTATTTTATCTCTAATGAACCTGTCATTGTTACCGGGCTATGTTCCGGCTGCCTTTAAACACGCTGTAGTGCAACCTATACTCAAAAAGAGCTGCCTCGGTCAGAATGATCTCGCTAACTTTAGACCTATTTCCAAACTCCAATTTCTGTCTTAAGTCCTAGAGAAGATTGTTCACTCCCAACTCCAAACTTATTTGGATGCAAATA